GGAGACCATTGTCACAAAATTTTGAATGTGCTGGATGTGATAGTAGGGAATGGAGTCTTCCAATCGCCTTGAGGTTAAAAGTGAATGAAATGGAAATTGGTACATGGAATCTCCATGCATTGCATAACAACAAGAAATTATTATGAAAGAAGAAGAATTCTCCATAACTTACTTGCATCATGCATCATCTCATTTATGAATACTAGTGAATTCTGTTTTGTCTTATTTCAAATGCAGCATTGATTCTTGATAGATTTATTTTTAATAAAGTAATTCTTATACATATATTTTATTTACTTTGATTGATATTATGGACTCACCCTATCTTTTCTCTTTTGTTTCCTCTTTGTGGTGTGTTTGTTTGTTCGGTGTATTGTGTATGTTATGTGCAGATGGGTTCCGAAATGATGAAGGTGTCGGTACTTCCGACCGAAGATGACTTGTGGATCTACAATAACACCACCCAGCAGACGATTTACCAAGTATTCGCCAGGATGACCCTTGGGTCAGTCATTGAGGTGGGTTGGGAGACCTGCTGCATTCTAGATATGCCCGTTGAGATTGTCTTTTCTCTACCTTTGTACACTACCAGTATATTATTCCCTTTCATTCCACCTGTGGCCGTCCTGCTCCCATGAAAGCTGATGTTCCCGTTCCTTTACCTATCATAGATAGTACCCCAGATTCTCATGCACCTAACTCTCTCTCCCTTCTCCCGCTGAGCCCGAGTATGTGGACATTCCAGTGATTGAGTCATTTGTTAGGCCTTGCCCTCCTAGTCCATTTCGTCGACTATCACCCATTGATGAGGCCAGACCCTCACACCGTAGCCCTTCACCACCCCTATCTTCTCCACACTTTAGTATACCCCCATCTACCTCTACTTGGATGGAAGATGTAGACGAGGATCTGCCCAATCTGCCTTCCTACCTGGACGCTACCCTCTCGACTTCGCCTGACTCTGATCCCTCAGAGGAGTATACTCCTTTGGATTGACTTGGTGTTATATATATATATATATATATATATATATATATATCCATGTGTGTGTTCCCTTTCTTTTTGCATGATGGGAATTTTGGGAGAATTAATATGGGAATTGGTAGTTACTTTTTGAATGTTTTGGATAATGTATAGTTATGTTCTCCCAGTAGTGTGTCATGCGTTGGAATCTCTTTTATTTCCTTTTGATCTTCAAATGAACTATGTTGTGACTATGTATGATAAATCAGTTAATTTTAAATTTCGTCTGATGAATTAGTTTTAGCCTTTAAATTATACTTAGATTGATTGTATGATAAATGAAAAGAATATTAAGGATAATGCACATCTAAGATATGAGTAATTAAATGAATATTTGGTTATGCATGTTAACTCCTATATTTATGAAATTGTGTGAGTGATATTACGATCAAGTATTAAGCCCTTAGATACACGTGTTCTATATTTGAAGTGTAACAATAATGGTATCAGAGCAGGCCTATCTCCCAATACAATGTGGTTCGAGGATGAACCAAGTGGAAGCTAGTGGGCATGTGACACCCAGGCGCTAGGCGAGGGCGAGGAGTGATCGCCAGTGCAATGTGGCATGGACAAGGAGTGACTACCTGGCAGGCTTCCGGTGGTAAGAGGCACATGAATGAATCAAACTTACATCGGAATAAGAGGGACATCCAAAGACTGTGTATACAGTTAATGATAGTTTAAAGGAATTGATTAGAACGACCTATACCAACAAAATGCATTTACTTTTCGATGGCCTATCACTTAAGAACTTCAAAGTTAAGCATGCTTAGCTTGGAGCAATTATGGGATGAGTGACCTTCTGGGAAGTTCCCGGGAAGTGTGCGAGTGAAGACAAAGCACATTGAAAAGTCTTGTGTTGGTTTGTGGGGACAGTCTTCAGTCCCAAATAAATTGCCTGGCTATTACAATAATAGTATCAGAGCAGGCCTCTCTCCCAGTACGGTGTGGTTTGAGGACAAACCACGTGGAAGCTAGTGGGCATGTGACACCCAGGTGCTAGGCGAGGGCGGAGAGTGATCGCCAGTGCAATGTGGCACGGACAAGTGTGCGAGTGAAGACAAAGCACATTGAAAGGTCTCGTGTTGGTTTGTGCGGACAATTGTCTGTCCCAAATAAGTTGTCAGGCTGTTACAATAATGGTATCAGAGCAGGCCTCTCTCCCAGTACGGTGTGGTTCGAGGACGAACCACGCGAAAGCTAGTGGGCATGTGACACCCAGGCCCTAGGCGAGGGCGGGGAGTGATTGCCGGTGCAATGTGGCATAGACAAGGAGCGGCTACCTGGCAGGCTTCCAGCGGTAAGGAGCACATGAATGAATCAAACTTATATCGGAATGAGAGGGGGATCCAAAGACTGTGTATACAGTTAAGGATAGCTTAAAAGAATTGATTAGAACTACCTATACCAACAAAATGCATTGCTTAACTTGGAGCAATTATGGGATGGGTGACCTTCTGGGAAGTTCTCAGGAAGTGTGCGAGTGAAGATAAAACACATTGAAAAGTCTCGTGTTAGTTTGTGGGGACAGTCGTTAATCCCAAATAAGTTGTCGGGCTGTTACAATATCCAAACTGTGAACTTATTCGCTCTTGTATTAATGAAATATGTACCGATGGTAATTGTATAGATAATAAAACATAAAATTATGAACATATAGAAAACATTTGTCTTACCAACGATGCATGAACATATCAAGTCTGAATCTAACTTTTGATGATCTTGAGAAATTTTAAGATTGACACATGTATGTGAACCGCCCCATTTAGTAATTTTCCACTTGTTTAAATTCTTCAACAATAAAGCCCTCACTCTCCATGGATAACTAGAGGTATGGTTCAAGCATTTCACATACAAACATGTTAGTTTAGACTCAGCCACAAAATAACTTTGATGAATCTTCATTGCGTAATGTTTTAATGCATTTTTCACATCTTCTTTACCATCAAATAACATGCCAACGAATAAGGGATCTCCTTCAACCTATGAATTTACATCTTGAGATTTTTCTTCAATCATCTCTTCATCAGGATGTTCTCAATTAATATACTTATATTGTGGAGTAGTATTCCAAAAAGGAATTATAGTATCTCTTGCATCATAATTTGCAAAATTATAATTAACATAATTAATGAAAAACAAAAAATTTTAAACAATAGTCCATATTACCTCCACCTAATATGTTTTTTTGTATATTTAAGTTGGAATCAAACTTGCCTTCAACATCAGTAGAAGAAGAACCGTCTAGTGAAATTTTTCCTTCATCACTTTCATCACCATAATTTGGGCCTTCATTATCTTCATTAACTTCAATCCTAATTAATAATACATTATTTTTATCTAACAAATACATATATTAATAAATTATTTTATAAAGTAATTCATATTACCTTCATAGTAATCACAACTCAAAATCGTCCCATTATTTTGCTGTGAAAGTGATAAAGTTAAATTCATCATCTACAACAGCATTGATGAACTTTCACCAATAGCAATATCCACATAGAACTCTATAACAATTCTACCAGATTGTTGTTGAAATGCACTTATCATACAATCAATATCTTCATCATCACAAATATCTAAAGCTGTATACTATCTATTATTTCTATCAATCAAAAAATGTAAAATTAATCTAGAAATAACTTCATTACGATCAAGATTAAGTTTCAAATGAATTTTTCTTTTTAAGTCTTTAAAACTTATTCCTCACTTTATCTGAATCATTTTCTTTCTTCCTTCAAAACTCACACCTTCATTACTTTCATAGATTCTATCATTCCAATATATAATTATAACATGTCCACTCATCCTGCATTTCTACAAATAAAATTTATTTAATATCTAATTTTTTCTAAATTTATATCAAATAAATAATAATACTTCATTATTAATCAATCTATTTAATTAAAATAAAATAAACAATAACTACATTCATAAATTTACATCAAATGAAGAAAAAAAAAACTGACTTGCTTTTTTTCAAACTTGTTAGTCGTCAAGGAACTTCAAAGCTGAAAGTGGGGTATATGTATATGAGAAGGGGGCCATATATATGGGAGGAGGGGTCGCATGGAGCTGTGCAAGTTTCGCCCTGCAAATGATGAAAGTTAATGTGCAAGTTTCGCCAATTCAATGACGAAACCACCAGTTTTGCCACTTCAATGTTGAAACCACCAATTTTGCCCTGCAAATGGAGAAAGTTCCTACTATTTTTGCCATAAAAATGCAAAAATTTCCTAATGCAGACACGTGTAACGATCTTATATTTTCGCTCTTCTTGTGGCGAAACCAGTTTTAAAAAATATATATATTATTCTTTTCGCCAGCTGCTTTAGTGAAACACCACATCAACGTAACAAATTTACCCTAGACAGAGAATTAATTTCAAAAAACCTATATATTAAGAAATAATCATTTAATTTACAATATTTAAATAAAAAATTCCATGCACACACGCATTATATATATATATATATATATATATATAAATGATTTTCTTACATTAATATAAGTCTAAAAAAAATTTTACATTTGATATGAACTTTTTATTTAACTTATATTTAACGATTAGTAAAATAATAAATTATAACCCATTAAATATAAATTAAATAAAAAGTTCATATCGAGTACAAGAATTTTTAAAATTACACTAAGAAAAAATCTTGCCTTATATTTATAAAATATAAAATTTGTGTGTATTCGCATGGTCTTCCTATTTTAAAATTCAAATGTAGATAACATCAAATTTGATGCTAAGAATCTTTATCAGAACTCTTATTTATATTGATATAAAATAAGAAAAGCATATATTTTTTCTTGTACTAAAGAAAAGCATGTTTTTGTCCACTTAGAAAATAAGATAATCCTTTCAAAATCCAAATTATAAGCCCACGGAAAGCGAGTGGTATATTAGTTGACAGCAAAAATGGGATTTGCAGTGAGGACAAAAGCATTCGGAACAATAACATATCACCAATAAATAAAATTGGAAAACGAAAATAATAAAAATAAATGAAAAAAAATCTGAAAAAAAAAGTAATATCTTTTTCTTATTTAAATTGCTAACATAGAAAAGTAAATTACAAAAAGGAGCAATAGTGCTCGTTGAGGTTCACCAAAAGGTCATCAACAAATAAATGACATTGCTGAAAATTTCAATTCGCAGAAATGCTTCCGATCTTCATATTCGAGTGACTACCCTCCATATGAATTGTGGGATAGACTCTTCAACAATTCTATTACAATTATGGGTCCAATAACTCAGTAGTAAAATTAAAGCTCAAACTATAATATGAACAAATTTAGACAAGCTTTTGTAAAAAGTATTAACAGGAGAAGAAAAATAAGGAGATGAAACAAATGAAATTAATGTATGTTCTTTTTCATTAGAGAAGTTAATTGAGAAATTTGAATAAGTTTACTAAAACTGGACCTATTTATAATAAGGGTATAAAATATACACTGAAAAATTGCATTTCTAACCTTGTCTGATTCCATTGGAAGGCAGTTTCCTATGATTTTTTCATGGAAGGTGTTGGTGATGCTGGAGGCTTCAAGTCCTCATACCTGAATGTTGATTTGAATATTGAGCATAAACAAAACATCTTGGCCCAAAGCGTTGATGTATTTGGTCAATGCATCTTCTTATATATAGTTATAGGTCCATTCATTACCAATATTATGACTCCTTTACTCACTTGAATTTCTAACCAAAAAATAAACTCAGAATTATACTGCCCAATGTGTCCTTACATTATTCAGCATGGCTTACATTAAGAGATGAAGAAAAATTTAAGGCAAGTTGGAATCAGCTCACATTGTATAAGGTGAAAGTGGTCTTGACTTGGGTTCATCTGTTATTGAAGGCTGGGCTGGTCCATTGCTTGATACGGTATCTATCTTTGTCACCCCATCCACAACAGATGTGGAAACTGATACATTCGGTGCATTAGGAGATGGTGAAGTTGGAGGCTTTAAGTCAGGATATCTGCATGCATAACATAACATGACATGACATGCCCTTAGAGAATAAACAAACAAAATCTTACTAAGTTGAACAACCAAACTACATCATATAAGGTCAAGTGCTAATGCATAGGCACACACATATAAAAGTACTACCACTAACTAAGCCACTGATAACAAGAATGAAAATAAAAGAAAGACAGTAATGTGTATTGACATATAAGAGCACATAGTTGAGAGATCCTCACGCCACATAAGGAGAAAGAGGCTTTTCCCCTTTAGAGAATGATGCTGTCTGAGAGATGCCATCTATTCCTGGCACACTACTTGGAGTATCTGAAGCACTGGCTTTTGGCACTGTGTCACTGATTTTTACATGGCCACTAGGCTGAGAAGGAGAAGGGGATGAAGGTGGCTTTAAATCATCATAGCTGAAAAAATAAGCATCAAATTAGTTATTATGCCTTCACAGTCCACAATGAAAAAGTTGGTTGTGTCTTAATCCTTATAACTTTTCATAGCAAAGTCAATCAGAAAGAGTAATAAATTTCATTAAATTATATTTGAGTATATGTATGTTGACTAGGCAAGATTAGTACTAATCTGGCTTACGCAGTGTAAGGAGAGAGTGGCTGTTTTGCCACTGGTTTAGGTTGTGAAGTTTCTTTCTGAGTGGCAGTGCTAGTTTCAGCTGCCACAACATCAATAGAGGGAACTGGATCACTGACAGCTGCAATATCTGGTTCCTGAACCACCCGAATAAACAATGAATTAAGTAATAGCTCATGTTAGTAATAGCAAAGGTATATACATTAAAATGTACACTATATATAAGGAAGAAAGCACCTTGGGAGAATAAATGTAAGGGCGTTGAGAAGGTATCTTTGCAAGAAGTTCCTCCATGGGAGTTAGCGGTGCAATTGTCTCTGCAATTACCTCTACTATTTTACAATATGAAAGTTCACGATTCTTGGCCATGACTGCCATGAGTTCAGCAATCTGCAATGGATCAGAATGAGTTATTTTTCTTTATCTCTTCACCAAATTGAAATTCTACAAGCAGTTATACAATTTGTTTTTATATTGAAGGAAGACACCATAATTGATAGGAAAATAAGACTTTTAGCATGCAAGATCAATCACACCACACCAATACATATAATCCTATTTATGAGAGGTAACAATTAGCTTCTAGGTTCTAACATGTCTACATTTGTTTATTCAACATCCAACATATTAACATCATGGCGTGGCACGTTGATAATGTTCTACATGTATAGACAAGAATGAAACAACAATGGATTAAATAAAGATGGTGATGCTGCCCTCAGTCTAAAAGCATTTCTAATCAGTATACCCTACTCTGAGGCAGCAGACAGCAAGCGGAGCTAATCAAATTTAAACTTCTATATGGCTGCAAGATTTATAAAGAGAGAAAAAAAAACTATGGTCGGTTCAATTTTCATGAACATAACTGGAATGTTATCAAATCAGAATAGGCTCACAAAAGAAAGTAAAGAAAGTAGAACAAGAGTAACAAAGAACAAGAAAACGCAAAGTACCTACTGTAATAAGAATAACGTGTGTTAATATTATTATTTTTGTTTTATCGATTTGCAGGCAAAAACCATTCCATATACACATGAACATTACAATGTGTAAAAAGATGAAATTCAGTTACTTTTATTTACTATCAGTACTGGGGTAATTAAGATGGAAAATCAGAGTTAACAACTTCCATATCACAAGAACATTTTGCATGATAAGTACCTGAAGGTTTGACACTAGACCCCCAAATAAAGTATCTTCCGTTGATAGGGTTATATTATGAGTTTCCTTGAAAGCATCAGTTGGCCGCTCCATACCTCCAGGTCTCACTATCTGAAGAGTGAAAAAACAAGTAGACAATTAGGACCCCTTTGGAGTAATTAGTATCATAGATTCAGAATGACTCACTGTGTATGGAATTCCACTTGCTAGCAATGCTTCTTCTGCCTTCCTTTTCCAAATCAGCACTCCCCAAAACAAACTTTAAAAGCAGAATCAAGCAATCAGCTGAACTGTTTCATGATGTCAATATGCAAAATATAACTAAGCTTGACTATGAACAAATGCACTTTTTTGGACACAGCTAGTACATGAGAAATCTTTTATACTTACTTGAGGATAGCTGCAGGAAAGCCAATTTTGTTTGTTCCAAGTGAAGTAACCAATATGAAATGATTTACTTTGGCAACAGTTGCTGCATAGTTGAAAGGGCAAACATTGGCGTTTTCAACATTTAGAACAAATGTAAATTAATGACTGATCAATTCAAGATTAGGGCTTAACAAAGTTTGAGAAATAAAAAGTGAATGAAAGCTTTTGTTACCAGCATCAATTAAATTTTTGGTTGCCTGATAATCTATTCTAAAGGGTCCAGTGATGTCAAAAACTTCCTTCTCACTGGCACCAATGCTACATATCACTGTTGATGCATTCCCTAGTGCTGATACAATTTGATCTGGTTTCTCCAAATCACATTCCACAATTTCAAGCTTCTCTACAGCTGGGCTAAAAACCAAAAACATTCTGTTATTCAATACAGCAGCATTTTTCCATTAGGAACCGAGACACCATGATTTCAAAACTTTCTTGTCTTACCTTGACTCTCGCCACTTGCACTTGTACCATCAAGCTTCAATTGTTCAACACTCTGCACATATTTATATATTTAATGCATATATCCATTTTACATAAAATATTACTCATATAACATATTACAGATAATTATTTACTCTCAGCTACAAATAAACTTCTACCTTAACTAATGCACCAGCTCTCTCAGCATCTCTCACTCCAGCTCTGACTCTAAAACCAAGCTTTATAAGCTCCCTGGATGACACCATAACTGCTTAGCATTTTGAAAAACTAATCATCTTAAAAATTTGAAGTGTATAGTAACAACAAACAAATGTACCTCACTGTCCGTGAACCAACTCTACCAGTGGCACCAGCAACAAATACCAAGTTGTCATCCTTTGAATTTGTTTTCTCAGGAATCCCCTCAGCAGTACCAGTACTAGATTTTGTTGAACCTTGTATACATATAATATTTAACATTCATTGAGATCAATGACACTCCAAATTAAGAAACATATTTTGACAGTGTGAAGGAGCACAGTTTATCACCTGAAGCTTGAACTCTGGTGCAATGAACTTTGTGCTTTGTGGTTCTTGTGGTACTGGGGTACCTCATGAAATCTGAGTATTGGGAAAACTTGACATACCCAGAAGGTTTATCTGTGGCAACTCTACGTGACAAAGAGGAGGGAATGATGGTTGAAGTCAGTGACTGCAAGGAGAAAGCCTCCATAGGCATAGCTTGAAGGATGTCTGTGATTGAGAATGAGAAATATGAAGTTGTGAATAGTTTTGATCATATTATCCATTAGTATCTTTACTTGGCACCAATGCCATCCTCAACTATGTGTGGATATGATATGATCATAGATGGCCCTACCCCACATGAGTGACTCACTCCTCATGTAGTTACATAGATTGCCCTTCAAGAAGATCATAAATTTTCTTAACTTAATTATGTGCAATAAAGAGTATTTTTATTTTATTTTTAATTAAAATTTTACCAGAAAATTTACAATAACTTAGAAGTAAATAATTATTTTACAAATTATTGAAATAAAATTTTAATTTTGATTAAACAACAACACAATTTTTTTAAAAAAGTACACTGAAATGTTGTCTTTATTTTAAGTATTTTTTACTTTGTTGAATTTTATTTGAACTTTGGTTGTACTGTTATTTTTTTAATGTCCATGTTATTTAATTTATCTTTTGTCATTTTTGTAAAAGGTTTGATATAAAGATGGTTGATTACTATCAACTAATTAGAATACATTACAGGTATAATTTTAATATTAATAATTTATAATTATTATTGATATAATAATTTATGATTAGATAATAATATAATTGTTTTTTACACAACTAAACAGCAATGTAAATTTTTAATATGTTTAAACTAAATTCTTTTTGTAACTATTGTGTCATGAACCTTTACGCTACATGCATATCTGTGTTAGAAGCATTTGCTTCTTTGGTGAATTTGAAAAACAACCAGAAAAGGGGTTGTATTTGCCACGTTTGTGGAGAGTGAATACTTTCATTTTTATTTGAAACCCAACCCATGAGTATGTGATTGTAAAAGTTCATAGGGGTGGTTTTGGAAAGGGAGTGAAGGATAAAATTTATATTTTAAATGAATATATTTCAAATTAATTTTTTAAAATTAAAGATATAAGTTAATATATAACATAAATTTAATGTATTAATAATATATTTATTATTATAAATAATATATAATTCTTTTAATTTAAAATTTAAAAATATATCTTCCCCTCTAAAAACAACTTAAAAAAACTATCATCCACATATTTTCACCATTTTAATTCATTCTATTTTACTCTATTTTTCCCCAAACATAGCTCATTCTAAGATTTGAATCCTCAATACTATAAATAAAGTTATATAATGTACTAATTTGAAGATATTGTACATATACCTTATAAGATTAACGGTAAGGTTATAATTATTAATTAGAAAATTAATGATTAAAATAAGAAAAATATTGATTTTAGCCTTATACATTTAGTGTTAAAATTAAGTAATAAATAATAGTCAGTTTTTATTTTAAAAATATTTACTATATTTTATAATTTAAATATAATAAATGTTTTTCTTTCTAAATGGTTTTATTTTTATATATTTAAATTTAATTCTAAAAGTTAAAATTAAAAAAGTTATTAAAATTATAATAGAATATTCACATTTACATAGTAAATGATAAATTATTGATTTTTTATTTTTAATAAATAATTATATCTTCACATTTTATCATTCTTTAAACTACAATCATTCTAATTTTCAACATCCTTATCTTTAAAAATTTTAAAAATTATTTGAAAAGGGGAGTTTCACAAGAAAAGACAAAATTTATATTTAAAATCAATATTTTTTTAAAATAAAAAATAAATTAATATAAATTTATTATATTTCTTAGTATAAATAATATAATTTATAATTTAATATCTTCTATATTTCTTCCTTTCAACAATCTCCTTCCAAACATTAATTGGTGGCATGGAAGAAAAGAAACCTGACAATGTCCAAACGCAGCCAAAACCAAGGTTGTTGCTGTGCCACAAATTTCCACGATAAAAACCTGCTTATACACTTAAATTCACAAAGTAAACACAGTCTCCCCAACCAAAATTTAGAAAATTAGAAAATTATTGGATTGTTTATATTATACTGTGTTTTTTTTTAATTTATGGAAAAAATATATATTTGAATATAACACTATCCAATCTTAAAATCATGATAAAAATTAAAATATAATACAATTTAGTCACTTATCTAAAGAATAAAAAAAAACCTAAATTGATATTATTCATCACTATTTTTTTAAAAAATAAATAATGGTTAATATAAATGCAATTGAAAATCATCCACAATTAAAAAAATGCATTGAAAAGGAAATTTTTATAAGGTATAAATTTAATTTAGAAAAAAAAAAAGAAAGGAAAGAAATAAAAACGTGGCTCACGGATACATGAACCAACCATTCTAATGTCACCATCCTCGTAGCGAAGCCGCAAAAACTGCCAAATGCTCAATTCACTTCACTTACCTTACCAGAAAAAAAAATATTATCCTGAATTTTTATTATTGCTTAATTTTTTATAATTATATCATTAATAAAACTATTTTACATAATTTTTAAATTAAAATGACATAAATGTATGAACATGTGAATAGAGAGAGATTGGGGATACCAATTTGTCCAAAACAAAATCTTGTAACTTGGATTAAGAGAATATAAACTGCTGAAGAAAAAAAAAAGTTGAAAAAACCAGTGAACACGAGTTTGCAGCCATAAAAAAAGCAAAAGCGCGTTTTGCAGTGCTGTGTTGAGGTACTCTCTAATGCTATCTCCGATGGCTATCTCGGCGCACCTCTGTCGTCTTCCCGCGACTCGCACTGACCTCGCTTTACCGGAGACTCTCACCAGAATTCGCTGCCGGAAACCTTTCTCCGTCCGATGCTCCGGTGATTCTTCTTCACCGTCCGTTTCTGTGGATTCCGATTTCGATCCGAAGGTGTTTCGGAGGAACCTGACGAGGAGTAAGAATTATAACCGCAAAGGCTTTGGATACAAAGAGGAAACCCTCCAACTGATGAATCGCGAGTACACCAGTATGTTTTTTTCTCTTTTTTCTTTGTTGCCTTTGCTTTGAAGTGAGAACAAGTTTGCTTCTTTTCAACAGGGGTATGTGTTTAACTTCTTTTAATATGCTTTTGAATTGAATATCATAGAAAAGTTTGGTACTTTCTTGCTGGGTATGCGTTTACTTTGGGGTGTGTGTGTGTGTGTGTGAGAGAGAGAGAGAGAGAGAGAGATTGGATAACTAATTTTGTGGTTAATTTTTGCGGTTCAAAAAATTATTTGTGAAGATGATTTCCTTACATTTCATGGAAATTGAGCTCTGAGTTAGTTTTAATTAAGCTTATGATTTTATTGGGGGTTGTACTTCATGTTATGTGTTGTTCATTGTTTGTTTGTGTGTGTGTGTGTGTGTGTTTGTGGTGATGTTGTGTGTACTGTGTTTTTGTAATTTCAGGTGACATAATTAAGACTTTGAAGGAAAATGGGAATGAGTATACATGGGGTACTGTCACGGTGAGGCTGGCTGAATCCTATGGATTCTGTTGGGGAGTTGAGAGAGCTGTTCAAATTGCTTATGAGGCCAGGAAACAGTTTCCTAATGAGACAATATGGCTTACCAATGAAATCATCCACAACCCCACTGTTAATAAGGTCTCTTCATATGCCCTATCACCACCTATGATCTTGGATTTTTTAATCAATGCTTTAGTTATGTCATTCTGTTCATGAAGTTGGTAAAAATTGATTTATGTCCTGGACTTCATCAGTAATCAGTAATCACTGCCCTGTTTCTAGTAAATGCCATTTTTTAACATAATAATGTTAGTAAGTGATGTTGATAAATTACTGATGCAGCGGCTAGAGGAGATGAATGTGCAGAATCTTCCTGTAGATGAAGGTAGAAAACAATTTGATGTAGTCAACAATGGTGATGTAGTCATATTGCCTGCTTTTGGAGCTGCAGTGGATGAGATGTTGACTTTGAGTGAGAAAAAGGTTCAAATCGTTGATACAACTTGCCCATGGGTTTCAAAGGTGTTGTTTTGTAAAAATGGCTTTCTGTAGTGCTGATTTGCATGATTCAATCAGTTCAATTCATATACTCTTTCACCACACATCACCAAATACTGAGATTATTTCTTCAATGAATTCTTTGAAGGTATGGAATACTGTTGAAAAGCACAAGAAAGGAGATTATACCTCCATAATTCATGGTAAATATGCCCATGAGGAAACTGTGGCAACTGCTTCTTTTGCTGGAAAGTATATAATTGTGAAGAATATGGCAGAGGTTTGTCCTTAGTTGCTGCTAATACTCAACTTTTTGTGTGAATGCCTTGAAGAAATTTGATGTAACTATTGCATAATTGTTGACTTTATCCAGGCTGAATATGTTTGTGACTATATTCTTGGTGGTGAATTTAATGGATCCAGTTCAACCAAGGATGCCTTTTTAGAGGTATGGTTTTTTTTTTATCATGTGTGTAATCGTGCTTTCAAAACGGTTGTCTTCATTGTCTTGATTATTTATTTATTTATTTATTTATTTATTTATTTTTGTACAGAAATTTAAATATGCAGTTTCTGAGGGCTTTGATCCAGACAAAGACCTGGAGAAACTTGGCATTGCAAACCAGACAACAATGCTCAAGGGAGAGACGGAAGAGATTGGTTTGTATTTTTTTGAGAGTGGGGAAGGGGTGGGGCTGGGGGGATTAACTCTTTTATCTCTAAATTAAATGTACTTTGATATTTATTTTACTGATCATTTCACAGGGAAACTAGTGGAGAGGACTATGATGCGCAAATTTGGTGTGGAAAATATCAACGAGCACTTCATAAGCTTCAACACAATTTGTGATGCTACTCAGGTAGTTTCACTCGTCTATGATGTTCTTGCTTATTTTAGATTAGTTAAAATTTGATTGCAACACTTGTTAAACCAGTTGTAAGTTCACAGCATACATAATATTTATTACAACTTAATGGTCATTGTGTATGTTCTCGGTCTAATCTACAGCTAAATTGAATTTTCTTTTAGGAGCGACAAGATGCTATGTACAAACTGGTGGAGCAGGATATGGATCTTATGTTAGTAGTTGGTGGATGGAACTCTAGCAATACATCGCATCTGCAAGAGATTGCTGAGGAACGTGGAATTCCTTCATATTGGATTGACAGTGAGCAAAGAATTGGTCCAGGAAACAGAATAGCTTACAAGTTGAACGTAAGCGTGGATAAAGAGATTTATACCTTGTCCAAGTTCTTAGCTCTTTTTATCCTTCACTATTAATAAAATGTTTGTTTTTTGGTCTATCAGCATGGAGAGCTGGTGGAGAAAGAAAATTGGCTCCCAGAGGGTCCAATAACAATTGGTGTAACATCTGGTGCATCCACACCAGACAAGGTAATAATATCTCTTACCTTGCCAGCAAATTGATAAAATTTGTAGCCTTTCTTTTCTTATTCATTTTTGTGAATTTCTATTATAGTTTCGCTGTAGTAGACTTATAGTAAATGTAGTTTCAGCTCCCATTGCAAACTAACGAGCTATTTCCAAATCTGATAGTTACTTCAAGGGGCATTTGTCAATGTCAATATTTATATATATTTCTAATGCTGTGCTATACTATCAGTTTTTGCCAATAACGTCCAAATCAATTTTGTTTAATGCTATTCTGCATCATTGGATTTCAAACAGGTTGTTGAAGAAGTGCTTATCAAGGTCTTTGACTTGAAACGGGATGAAGCATTGCAACTTGCGTAAAGTAGGTTTGCATACATGCATTGTCAATGTATAAATGAGACGAGGGACTTAATTCACTGGGTCTATTACAGTCCCATGTATTCTAGAATTAATTAATAACAAAAGTTCAAGAGTTCTTATAGCTGCCTCATGTATTGTTGAATTAATACAGTAAAAAAGTCAAGGCAAGTGGTTCTTCTTAATTCAGTTGCAATAGCAACCTGTACATTGTGGACGTATCAAATTCAAATTGAGGATTCACTTTTCAATTACTTAAATGAGGGTCCAAATTAACACAGACAGGAGAGCTTTGATAAAAAAATTGGTCCTATAATCAGAAAGAAAAATACAGGAAATACACATGTATATTGAACTCAGTATATGCTGATAATCTAATCTAACATAAGCTGCAAATGTTTTCTTGATATACACCTCGAAGGCATCTTTCGAGCATTTGTAAAATCCTTGGCTGATCAACCAACAGGACATATGCTGGGCACCTCATGGATGTTCATACTTTATCGTTTTTGTATAATCCATATAATATCATCAAATTTAAGAGTCTTCTTTTCCCATCTTAATGTCTCGAAAGCCAAAAGCTAACCACTAATGCTATCAGCTTGCTTAGATAGTGATGATTCAACTATTTCAGGGACCTTATCAAGTATGCGATTCATCTCCTCTGGAAACTCCATCTTTGCTCTATTCGTCTTCCCTCCAATGATGACTGTTGTTCCATCTTGTAAAGCCCATATCTTTCAGTTGACCAAGAAGTAAATGAATAGTTCAATATACAATTAAATGGGGATAATTGAAGTTTTAATTAAGTTACAAGAAAGCAATGTTATTAGTTCAAGTTCTACCATGCATTAAATTTCATGGATTTTTTTAGTCATATAAATCGTGCGATTCGTTCAATGTTAACCAACATCATACAGACAGTGGTCCATTTTTTAAGAGGAATTTTCGGATGATGGAGCAATTTTATTAGTCAAACAAGAAAACAGATCCAAGTCATCATCGCTTGTTTGAAAAGAGGAACATGTGAGCAACATTGGAGAAAGAATGATAAAAATCAAGTTCAGCAGAAATTTCACCTGTGAATGAGACAAATAGCTGATGCAAGTAGTGATCATTAGAGCACCAAATCCAGCATACACAACTGGCACACCTGGGTCAGTCTGTATGAACAGTGAGTCAATGACAAAGGTAAAGTAACTGATTGCAGAATGCTTTTAAGTTTAAGGTGGCACCTTCAAGTCCATGCCACTACTTCCTATTGCATCAACAATGACAATTTCTGTGCCATCAATATTGATTGGTAGCTTTGAATTAGGCCGTCTAACTCCTGCAAATTTTCCTTCCTTATCATAAAGGACAATTGACTGCAGATCGCGAGCAAGCATAGATCTAAAATTCAACACAATAAAGTAAGAAGGATGGGACAAGGTGAAGATCAGTGTGTAAATGCCAGAATGACCTCCGAAATTCTAGCCTGCAATGGGGGCCTCTGCAGTTAATCTACCATTCACAACACTTCATTTTAGAAAATTCATATACATGATATTGAAAATATCTTCATAATAATAATAATAATAAGATTCTTTTCTTATATTTAGAACTTCAATTTTTTATTATAGCTTCTAAATCTTCAAATTTTATTTTTAAGATCCCAAAATTGTCTCCCCTACTCATAAATTAAGGTGGAACATAAAAAATAGCATTAGAGAGAGAATGCTCTTATGAAAAACAGTTCTCAACTTCTCTGAGCTTCCTAATATCGAAAATTGTGACATTGGAAATTGGAATCACAGCAAATTTTCGAAGACTTACATTCCCTTAACATCAGGAGAGTTAATATCTCCAACCGGTAGGAAAGTACCAAAAAGTTTCTTATCTCCGTTGATCTTCAGAGGTGCCATAGCCAAGTTATATGGTCCTTCATTGTCCTTCAGAATTTGCAAAGCCGAAATACTCCAATCTGTCTGGTATATGGTGATACCACCATATCTTAAAGGATCATTTACACTGATTGTTTTCCTCATCACTTCCTTCCCATCCATGTTAAAAAGGGAAAGATCGGTGTGGAACTGTGAAACCTGTAACATAAACCAAGAATGAACAAAACATACATAAAAAAAGTAAAACATCATATTTGGAAGATGATTCAACAATGATAGAACTATAAACTGATGAAACTTTTTACCTTGACAGGTTAAAATTTCATGAATACACTGCTGAATTCAGTTGCAAGTATTATCACTACAATTTCATAGAAAACAAAAATAAACATTTACCTCTCCACTTTCATAATAATCCATGTAGAATCTGTTAACATGAATCTCTGTATTAAAAGCCTCAGTTGGAGAGGAGAGAAAGCCAGTAGGACCCAGAACATCACCTACAACAAAATTTAGCCCCTGGGGCACAGTGGCTGAACCTCTGAAGCTCCCAGCAGCACTGAGAGTTCCTCCAGCCATTATCAGCAGCAGGGCTATATGGACTCCAACAGGGGCCAACCGACCTGCTAGCCCTCTAAAAGCGTATAAGGATGGTCCTTTTAAGAATACCTATCATCCAAAATTACACTATCAACACAAAGAAATGTTCAAAGTTTTGGCCAGTAACTATAAGAATATCTTCTTGGTTAACCACGAATCATATCCTGTAAGTATGTCCTGGGTAATCTTAGATTCTAAGGGATGCAAAGTAAAAGAATGAGTTGAGGCACCATAACCTCATATCCAGCTCCCATCAATAAAGTACCAACATCTTGGACTGATGCTCTTGGCAACGATTCTGAAAATTCTTGCTTACGTATAGCCTCAGAAGAGTTCAAAAATGACCATCTAGAAAGAACTTAGGCCTTCAGTGATCAAGAAACTTCCCAACTCGGGCATTAAGAATACAAAAAAACTGGCAAACAAACCTTCTTGAAACCTTGATGAGGGGAATTTGAGTTGTGTAAGTGCAGGCCATAAGGGATGCACCCAGGAGAGCCAAGACTCCAAGAAATATAGGGGATGAAAACATGTGATCAAAACCAAGGGCGAGAATCCATCTCGAAGTAAAAAATCCAAACATGGGATGATCTTCAGGGTATTTCTGGAAATAAAAGTCAGGGGCCTCACCTTGATCAATAATTGTGCCTGGCATAGAAGGCCGAGTTTAAGTTAAGAGTAAAGCTATATCCTTCTATCAATTTTCCTTATATCCTATAAAGTATACAGTAAGTATTAAATGAAAATGTAAATGTAATTAATAGTTTAGAAGCATAAAAAGCTTCAATACTTTCTTCATTTAGTAAGTACGAGGATTTAGAACTATTCTTTAGTTATTATGATCATATTAAAGAACATTTGCAGTGGCTATAAAATTGAAGCGATATCATAGAATGTCAAAATACTGAAATAGCATCCACAAACTTCCGGAGCTTTTGCATCCACTTCTATCCTCACAAGGATACAAAGCATAATCAACGTGAGAACTGAGAAATGTTTCTGTAGTGCACATTTTGTTATCCCAAGAACTTCAAAACTTTGAAGTTAATTGGATTTGAATACATAAAAATCTAAGATTTTCATCATAAGTCCCAAAATTTCCTATATCTTATGCTCAAATACAAAATAGATTTCTAAACAGTAACATATTCAAAATGCTCACACACCACCAGGCTTCTAAGAGTTTAAAATTTTGAAAAAAACTACAATAGTAAAAACATCTGGTTAATTCAGACAAATAGAAATAGAGAAAGAAGAAAACTTTAGCATATACCCAAAGCCATCAAAGTAGCAACGGCGAACATCTCCCCAATAGCCAAAGGCAAATTAGAGAGAATCTGCAACATCTTCCTACTCAACATCTTGGCCAATCCAAAAGGGCCTCCATTCTTCTTTGAGGTTGCTGGAACATCACCATTGATGTCAGCATCCTCTGTGAGTGGTGGAGGTGACGCTTCTGATAAGACAATTTTCTGTGACACGCCCTTCTTCCCATTGTTTTTGATATCTTGAGAAGTTTTCAGCTTGCAGTTTATGCTGAATGGAAGAGTGTGAACTCTCTTTGCAACATGGGTGTTGTATGAGAATGGCTTGAATTTGAAGAAGTGAAAGATAGGGACTTTGGGGAAATGGGTTTTGGGAAGACATGGATTTGAGGTGTTTATGGGACTCAAAGCCTTCATTGATACCCACTGTTTCAGGGACTGTAAGCTCTCTGCTTATGAGCCATAACGACCACAGCGGTTACTTTATCCCAAAACTAGATATTTTATATATTATATTCAGATGTTTATATATGTACATTGGTGAAAAATAATTTAGTACAAAGAAATATATACGAATTCACAAAATAAAATGTTCATAAATAAATAGTTAAACATTAAATTTAAAATTAAAATAAAATACCTAACTTCAACGTAATTTATGTTAAATCCTTCTCAGTTCTCATACAATTTATGTATTTTGTGATAATCATTTTTGTACCAACAAGAAATTTCGTAAAAATAATTCAAACTTAAAAACAGAAAAAAAAGTAATTTTTTTAATGCTAGTGACTAACTAATAATTTTAAACATTCAAGAATTAAAGTAATCGACACTTTATTAAAAATAATAATAATAATACTTACAATCTTGGATTTATTGAAAGACAAGGATGAATACAACCTTATACAAAATAAAATAAAATAAAATGTTTAATCTTGAAAATAAAAGAAACAAACTAACAAATAGATATATATAATTTTCTTTCGACAAAGTTACATCTTTTTATTATTGTTGAACACGGCTTTTTTTTTTCTTAACTATCATAATAAGTTATATTAGCATCTTTAATCAATTACTTAATTTTATAAAAGATAACTTGTCCCATTTTCGTAATCAATACTCAATTTTCTCCAATTTTTTTTATCAAGATAAAATATTTAAAAAATCATTAAAACAATCTATTAACTAAATCTACCTGCTCTTATTTTAAAAAAAATACACATTTTCTTACAAATCACATGTATGTATATCTTTAATGTTGGCTCATTTGAAAGGCTAACGCAAGAAAATTGATAGATAGCCTAATTTTATTGTTTAGAATCGGTCCGAAGTAGGGACTATAATATGCTAAATTAGAACTCCAAGCGAAGATAATCGAGAGATTCCGTATGAAGACCTTGCTTATTGGCTTGTGCATGCGTATGTAGACAAAGAATGCTTGTATAAACACCTCTATGTTGTAAATTTTTACCTTTAAAAAAATGTTTTAAATTATTTAACGAAACATGCATTTAAATAACTTGAGTATTCAAGATAATTAAATTCTTTCCTATTTTCTTTCTTTTATCCTATTTTAAAAACTACTTATCATTTCTTTGGATAGTTGTTAAAAAACCCTATGTTATATATAAATGTTATATATAACATATAACATTCCCATTAGAGATAGACCTCGGATTAAACGCATCTCCAAATTATTTTAAGCATACAAGCTCGATTCATGTATGATGACCGAAAAAAGGAAGCTTGATTCGTGTCCCCAAATTAAAAATACAAACTTGAAAGGTATTAAATGAAATTATTTAAATAACTAGATACTAAAAAAATAAACTACACTGTCACTGCAATTGCTAAATTGGCTTAAACAACGTATCTGATAACATTTCATGGGTTTCCAGCGATCTATTAACCTGTAAAGGGTGAATGGGGTTCTGCAATTGTGAGATTACTTGAGCTGTGACACTATCAATGTATCCTCTGTCAATGATCTCCTGACATGTTACAGCTCATAGTTTTGAAATTGAAAACAAACGCACAACTATCAGACAAAGATGTCAATTTTACTTTAACGCTCTTGGTTGCCGATCTCCTTTTAGTACAAAATAAATAATCCTGCGAATACAAAATAATGAAAATTAACAGTGTAAATGATTAGCCAATATCATTCCTAAGAATACTAGCATTAACAAGTCTTCTAACAATGACCCCCAATGGAAGGAAGGCAGCCAGAGGCAGAATTTGTTTAATGAATAGTGATGGCTGTGAATTTTATTTTATATGAAACTTTGTTACTAAGAATAAAATATTATACAAACTTATAGCTCAATTAACACAGGCCAACGGGTTTAAGACATGGTGTGATGTTGATGGTGGAGGTTTCGTCCAAAGTCAAATTTACCTTTCCATTTTTCTACCAAATTCTTGCACTTCTAATGTATGTAACCCCATCCCTCAACAAAATGGTTCTTTAGAGTTGTAGTAGTAAAAGGGTGAAAGCGTAGATAATGAAAAATATACAATTGTACCAAATTGAATTTTGAATAAAACTGAAAATTCAATATATATGTTGACACGAAGATCATAATGTTGTACACTGCATAATTTCCATTTCTTAAAAAAACTCAGCATTAGATGCTTTGACCCTGAAGACGCAAAATGCCAAGAATAATAAAAAAGGAACCTGTGTGCATGTCTCTGACTAAGGTTCTGTAGCATGAGCATGATCATTCTTTTTTTTTTTTTTTTACCCTCATTTTATTTAGAGGAATGGAAAACATTAATCACCTAAAACGTGTTGAATTCAGATCTGCTTTGTTAACAGCTCGAGGTCAGATCCAATTTCAGAAATCTTGTTATCCTTAGAACCCTTGGCTGCTTTTGCAATGTTCGCAACATCAAAATCCAGTGCTATTTTTTTGACAAGACCCTCAAGCATCTGTTTGAAAAGGATTAGACAAACGAAAAATTGAGTGAAGCAATTCAGAGGTAGATATGCCTCAAAGCACATGGGCTTATAAGCAAAGACAATTTGTCTAATGTCACATTTGGTTTGAATACTTGATCTTCATTATTAGTTCTCCAACATTTAATTGTTTCTTATGCTCTTGAATAAACAGTTTTATTTGATTCTAGCTCAGTATATAAGAGAATGTAATTTCTTATTCCAGTAAATCCTGTGTAGTAAGAGTGTAAGACAAAGGTGTTCCCCTGACTAGGATATGAAACTGAAACTAACAACCAAAACAACTTGCAAATAGGTTGAATAGCAGAAAGAATAGACAAGGGTGATAATTGGACTGGATAATCAGGCTTTGCAAAAGCAAATCGTAGCAAATAAGCAAAAATGTGTAGTTACATAAATATGGGATGCAACATGCCGAACAGCTCAATTTTATACAGACAAAATAAAATAGAATATATGCATCAAACACAATATGAGAGCTAGAAACTTAAAAATACCATGGATCCAACAGCAACTAAAGCACGGAATTTGGAATCAATTTCTACATTTTCATCCTCGACAATCTGAAAAAAAAAATAAAAAAATACATATCAGTATAATTTAGAAGTAATAATAATGATAACAACAATGTCTAAAAGTAGGAAATTTGATATTTTAAATATTCTAGAAATGTACAAATTTAAAGCACCTCAGCCCTGCAACCGTATTTATATCTTATTTTAAGTGTGGAGAAGCTTTGGATTTAAAGGCTTTTTGTTCACAGGGAACACAGCAAAGCATATGAAATGCAGGATAAGTAAGACAAAAATTAGCATTGTTTAGGGGTGAACATTAGAACTACATACCACAAGGTGCAAGGTATCAGATTGATGGGGATGTCATACATAGGATGCAAGCTCAGTGGATGACATAAGCAGATGCTTGAAGTGTCTATCAATTCTCAAAGGGAAATTCTACAAGACAATTATAAGACAAACAAAGGTCTACGCTAGTTCTAGTGTAAACAAGAGCAAAAAATAAGTGTATAAAGATGAAAACATTGAGGTAGATGAGTAGACAAAACAAAATTTGAGAAAACTGTTTGGGAGAAAGTTGGAGTAGCACTGGCACCTATTGAGAAGGAGACAGATTCTCCTAAGGTGGTTTGATCATATAAGAACAATAGATGCAACAGCAAGAACAGAAGATTTGGGGGGGGGGGGGGGGCGCGAGGATAAGTCAAATAGAAGATAATCTAAATAAAAGGGGGTGAAGAAAACTTGAGGGAACTATTTAAAAAGACCTTGCCCTAACTGATTTTATTGAAATTTTGGTTTTTGATGGGGCCTAATGGAGTTGATCAAGTCAACCTCACCTAGCAGGATAGGGTTTGGTGATGCTGCAATGTGTGGTTGTAGCCAGGTAAAAACAGCAACAGCATAAAACATACCTCAAGTGCTGCTGATAGAACTTGGGATTGACCTTCTTGATCCTTTGATTCAATCAACAGTACAGCATAACTGTGAGAATCACACAAGAAGTAAAGGTTACAGCACACTTACAGTGAGGAGTGAGGACCCTTAATATTGCACTTCTAAAAGTAAACCACTGCAATGATGCAATAATGAACATAAAGTGTGATCTAAATATGTAAAAGCCATCACAACTGCTTCAGTGTCTATACTTTGGAAGCAGGGTAGCAAAGTTGAGTGACACAAGCACAGAAGAAAAATCTAGATGCTCTCATAATTGCCCTCCCTTTTCCACTTTTCCATCCAAGAAAAAAAATGTAATTCATTTAGCCTTTTTCATGTGTGCATGTGTTTGTGTGTGTGTGCATGTGGTGGTGGTAATAGGTGTTTAATAAAAGACCAGAAAACACTTGAGCACTTTTGCACCTAAACAAGGAGACTATATCTTTGCAGCTTTAAAAAGCTAAACAGACAAATCATACATATGTAATTATAAATGCAAGAACTACTAGTGACATTGTGTGAGCTAAATACCATTAATTAATCAAGTATTTTTTTTTTTTTCCAAAACAATTGTGCACTTATAGTAAAAAGAAAACTAAAATATTTGTACCAAAAAACAGACTTACTTTAGTAACAAGGTAGAGTACGACAACTGCAAATTTTTGTTAGTAGATGAACTACAACTTGAGAAAGCATCAAGAATCTGCAAATCATACACAGTCAGCATAAATAAATGACCAAGATCAATCTACAACCCAAAGAACAGAAAATGGACAGACAAGGTCACTTTGTCCTACAGAAATGAAATTTTTTAACAAAAAATTATAAAATGGCCAAAGTCAAAGAACTAATGAATTGATAACTGTACCAGTGATGTAAAGAGAGTCAAATTATTCGTATTATTACAAGGCATTGTGAAAAGCATGTATATCTATGAATACCAGTAATACTTGGAAGGCAGAGGGAATAGAAAGCCCTTATTAGCCACAGAAGATGAGTTTATGCAACATTTTCTTAACAATGTTACATAAGAGAAGTTCTACATTAATGTCACTCTTCCAAGAATTTCTTTAAAAAATCCAGGTGAAAATATTGTTATAAAGAGATGCTAACCTCACTACGATGTTTCTGCAACCAGTTATAGTAGCAAGAATTCTTAAAGAGATTAGTTACAACACGAATGCTAGTCAACAAATTTGCAGGAATTGCTGGATTTCTGGTTACTTTCTCAATCACTTCCATCAGTATGTCTGGATATAACACAGGAGAAAAGCAATGATAAGATTACACATCAACAAAAAGGTATAGAAAGAAAAATAAGGTTCAAAATGCAAGGAGTATCAGTAATCATGAATATTTCAAATAAAAAAGATGGGATTATATAGATTATTGTCATAACTTAATGTCAGAAAATAAAATGATAACAATGTTGATACCATTTTCTGCTTCAAAGTGCTTGTGAAGTAAAATAGCCCCATCTGGATGAAGAACTATCATCCTTACAATATCAATGACTGCATAGATAAAGCACATTAGAAGAAGTACCCAAAATCAATATCCTACATATCAATGATTTTGTCAAAGTAACAATGAAAATTTCTTGAAGTGCATAAAAAAGGAGCAATGCAAGAGACAAAATCCGGAAAGTAGTATTACACCAACTAACCAGGAAATATCATTGTGATTGGCCATGATCGAAGCAGATTCAGTAATAAAGCTATATCAGAGTCTGCAAATTTACTAGAATGATAATGTGAAGTATCTTTCAGAGTTTTGACAATTGCACCCAATCTGGAAACATTGAGCTCATTCAAAGACAAGTTCTGCTTTTCCTACATGAGATTGACAATAGAACCATATTACTCAAAAAAGTCATTATTTGAATTCATAAAGCCTTACATGCTTGCTAAAACATGAAGCTTTATTGTTCTTAAATCTTATATAGCAAATCTCTGCAACATGGAACACTCGTGCAGGGTTTTTCTTCGTGAGGGAAGTAAGTCATGTTTATGTCCATCATATTATAGGGCATCATAGCATGTAAATCCCAAGTCTAAAATTAAAAGGCATTTTAAACTTTTTACAGTCAACCTTAAGCATGTGAAGTTAGAGTCATCGACAAGTATATTGAAGTTTGAAATGATCATGGATAAAGTAGATGTGGAAGATTAAAAAAGTCCCCCAGTGTTGACCCCTGCAAGTGAGTTCGTCATCCTAAATTAAAGTTCCTTGATTCCTTCTACCAAAAAATATGTTTTTTACATTATGTATTACAAATTAATAACTAAGGAGAAAAAATTGAAAAATTCCAATCACGTAGTCTACCTGGTCAGATTGTAAAGCATTATTGAACTCCGTAATCTTTTTAAGGATCCCATCAAATTGAGCTGCATCAAAAACAAGCATCCCTTTCTGACAAGAAAAGTAAGAACTGGGCATGAGCCATCAAATTAACCAATTAACTTAGAGAGGGAAAAAGTATGAAGTTCCACACACAAAGGACATTTGAGCACTGGACTTAGAAATGACTACGCTACTTTTAGCACTAACCACATGTAAGTGGGATTAAATTACTTGTACATTGAGCAACATTCTATAAAGATATAGTGGTCTGCCCAACGGACTTCTCATAATAATAATAGCAATAACATTAATGTCAAATTACAAAGAAAGCAAAAGTTGATTCAGTAACTCATCAAACAATTTTCCTAAAGAAAAAATAGATTTGCAACTCAAATGAACAAGGGAAGCACCAAATAACATCTATCAGTGTCACTTCTTCTTACTGAGCTCCACCTAGAGCCATATTGTCCATGTACTGAATAAATAGATCATTATCATTAATACACACACAGATAGATAGACCACAATTAAAGCAAAATATAAAATTTTAGAAATTCCTTTTTGAGTAGGTTAATATACAGATCAGATGCTAATACTATAAATTTACACTTGGGACACACCAAAGATAGTATGTTAGGACTAAGGACAATGCTACATAGCATGGGTTTAACAACTTGGATGTAGCCCAGGTAACTAAATAACAATGCATTATTTTTATTTTAATCAAAATAAGAGAAAAGAATATAACTACAGCAAAAGGCATAACAGATCAACCACATTCTCCAGACCTAAGAACTCACAGGCAAAAATGTATTTCCCTAAGACTAAAGTATATCAAAGCACACCTTGGGAATATGCTTGAAAGTAGGTTTCGCAGAAATATCTGTCATTAAAAAGAAAACAACAAATTTAAGTGGGACTGAGTCGCACAAGCACATGATAAAACACGAACATGAAAAATCTCATGCAAGACAAGATTAGGCGAGTTTTTATTACCAGATGCTTGTGAAGGTTGTCCTGGTACGTAAGCATGGGCTGAACAGAAAATAAGAGAAAAATAATCAAATTAAAAAGGAGGACTGCAAGGATAATAGGCATCATTGATCACCATCAATTTTTGTTACTAGACATTATACTTACATCCAGTGTAGGGATCACGAAATGAGGTGTCAAAAGTAATATTGTTTTGTCCAGTATTTTGAAGAATGAACTGTACAATTTGCTCACGGAAAGAAAGAGGAAGATTCTCCTTGAGTAGCCATTTATCAGCAGCATCATATGGATTATCTGGAAAAATCTTACAATTTTCTTTTAGTTAGCACTAGCAGATTATCATTCACATGCATAATCTGGGCAAGGTTTGATTCTCAGAATCTCAGCATCTAACACAGGTCATACAAGAGAAACAACTGCAAGTGATAATAAAACTTAAGGCAGAAAATGAGCAATAAAGTAGCTAAGACTTAATGGATTAGTACACCAAGGAGAAGTCTTACAAACCTCATTTATTTCCCTAAGCCTTAACAATTAAACCACTCATAAGAGAGGATCATAGTTTCACATTGTAAACAAATAAGATTGAAAAGCTTGACACATTCTCTTCTTCACAAACCTCTTTCTACTATCTTAAAAGTTGTGACTACTTGACTACTATCTTAAAACTTCAGAGCATAAGCAAAAAATACATGTAAGCAAAACAAAAATATCTGAGTAGTACTTGACTACTCCATACCTCCTTTTTCTTTATAGGAAGGACAACGAGTACATGGTCCATCTCCTTATAGATCCCTAACTTGCTCATATCTCATTCTATTCTATGTGGAACTCTATTAACACTTAATTTCAACATGGGCGAATTGAACATGAGCAGGCATGCACATGCAATTTTCCTTCTCAAAATTAATACAACCTAACATAACAGTTCTTGTTTGAATTGGCCCAGTAGTTCATGTTACAGAATCCTTATTATCTATGAAGCCTAGATACTTAGTACAACATGGATACGGAGATACGGGAAAAATTTGAAATTCAAGATACAATGTGGCTTAAATACATTAATATGAATTTAAAGAAATAACATACTTTATACATATACAAAATATATATAAAGAGATATTGATAATTCATTTATATTAATGTGTTATATTTGAATATCATTGATCACATTTTACAAAAAAAATACATACGATCATATGTTTCCTTTGTCTAAGTAACTAAGTTAAAATATTTCTCCTATTATAAACACACAAAAAAATTACATACTTTATCCCCTATTCAAGTTAGAATTTCACAAAAGAATTGGTAGTTCTATCTAAATGAAATATAGAACTATCACAAAAAGAAGATCCTACCTTTTTATACTATTTAATTCTATCTAAGCCATATCAGATGATCAGGAGCCGTATCAAGTTGGAAATTAATTTTTAAAAATAAATTAAATTATAGATGCTTTTAAGATAAGTATCTGGACGTATCAGACATGTATCAGTATCGGATACTTGTCCAACACGGATAAGTTGGCTGTTTTGAAGTATCTGGGCTTCATAGCTTATTATTGACTCAAATGTGAATACATCCATCTACTAAGCTAAGGTTTCAGAATTAAAATACACAATAGTTCTAGAAACTAATAATTAATAATGTTTCTATTGACTCTACAAAATCCAGAAAAATTCATTATCCCAAAACCTTTATAACAGAATATTACATCTCTTGAGAATGTGTACCTGATCGATTGTATGGCAACTTACGGATAGGCAAACCATCTCCAATATCGACATCAAACACTGAAGAGCCACAGGTAAAGTTATAAGAAATGCATGTGAAGAAGGTAAACCCAATCAAGTGTTCAAGGGAAACATAGGAAACTGACCATAATCATACTGAATACCATCGAAAAAAGGGCGATTTGATTCCTCTGGTCCATCAACAACTTCACCAATCTTTAAATAAACATAAATTGTTAATAAAAAAATATTGAACTCACCTATATTTGGCACTTGAACTTGAGAATTAGATGGGTTAAAGGAAATAGAAACAAAAGAAACTAAATTTGTTCATTTGGATTTGGAGTTCTGTTCCTCAATAAACACCAAAATTTCATATAGAATAAAGCAAGGAAATTACTTTATCCCACTTCTGTTCTCTCATGCTCCATGCATATGCCACTCCATTATCTCCCTCTCTGACTACCTTTGTCTGGCCATCACTAGTTCCTGTTCAGAATTGGAAGATGCTTAAAACAAAAATCATGACAAAACTGGACTGCTGAATTATGTAGGAAAGTAATAATGAAATTCAAAAGGGGGAAATCAACGTAACCACACATTGTATTATGCATGCATATAAATTACAGAATGTCATAAGGTATTACATAAAAGCTAACACTGAGGACTTGTAGAACTGGTGAATATTTAGACTATTTAATGCTACAAATCCATGCAATCAAGTTTTCCTATCCAATCTGAAAAGATATCCAAAAATGAATTTGGTGTCTGATATGCAAGCATAATTTAAAACAATAGGCTGTATCCGTGTCACATTGTGTCAGATACGTATTGATGAAAGACACTTAAACTTATATTGTATTTTTTAAATTTTTTAAACTTTTATATCTAGCCAGGCTCACCTAGTGTTGTTGTTTTTAAACTTTAATATCAATAGTGATAAAAATACTATAATAGCTATATAAATAATATCATTCTAAAATGACTCATGCTTAAAATTAAAATTCCCCTTTACTTTAAAATTTGTGTTTCCATAATTCTATTTACTAATTTTATGTCGTGTTACAGTTGTCTTGTGTCATATCCTCGTGTCCATGTCGTATCCTATCTATGTCTCATGTTTCCATGCTTTCTATGACAAGTAAATTGCATGTCCGTGACCCCTAACCCTCCAAAAAATTTAACAAGTGGTGGGCGTAGGGGGCAAAGCTTATGCCAAATGAATTTTCAAAAGTAAACAATTAAAACCAGACCTGGGATCTTCAGTGCCTCCAAGCCTGGTAACTCTTCCAATTTCAATCCTCCAACCCTCTTTCTAGCAAAAATTAACAGACCAAACTAAGTTCATCAATAATAGCAAGACATGATTAATCCAAGCATGACAGAATCTATAGATTAAAATTCTAAAAATAAAAAAACAGGAATACATTTGGATTTACAAGGAGCACAACATTCCCAAGAAAAAGAAATCATTTATTCACCAAGCACAAATGAATCATATACTTTGCAAGTGAAAACCTGGATTAGGAAATTCACAATATGGACAGAAAAGAAAAGGAGAAACTGATGAGAGAGGGGAGTACCAAGCACCTTATGACCAAAAAAACACATACCTACTAGACTTGTATTGAGAAAGTTGTGAACTGTATAAATCAAGCTCCTGCTTGTCAGCAACCTTATCCTGATCTACGGTCCAAATGCGTACAACTCCATCTGAACATGCTGTCACAATATCCCCATTTTCCATAAATTTTGCATCCCAAACGCAACCAGGATGCTCTATGCTCTGAACACAAACTCCATCTGAAAATATATGAGAAAAAAGTCTGTAATTCCAAGCCACAAGTTACATAAGCTGAGGCAAAAAACCAAAACAATAGACCATGTGAAGAAAAACCGATGCCTTTAAGAAGCTTACAACCTTGGACATTTCATGTACATGGCAACTTGAAACAGTGAAAATGGATTAGAAGGGTCTCGCCATATGACACTCCCAAATAAAACTTCTTATTAAAAAACTAGTTTATACCTCAATTTTTGAAACAAAAAGTCACAAAAAATGGTGGACAAATATTGACATAACCCAAACATTAATGCTGAACTCATGAACTGTAAAAATTGCAGCTAACTAAAGATAAAAGAATATCAAGCAGTTTCGTAAAACTGTTGGCAAACATAAGGAACAGAATGAGACCCCCTTAATAAAAGCCTCCCTTATAAACTTTGTGAAGATTGACCACCAACATCAATTCTGTAGCTTGCTAAACTCACTCAAAAATAAACCAGGGCCACGAAACTCATGAGTATTGAGTATTGTAACTAAAGTAATATATGCAAATAATATTCCAATGACACATGAACTCTATAGCAATATGCTAGAAAGAAGTAATCAGTAATCACCTTTCCAAATTTTAGCAAACCGGTCTTCACTACCACTGATAATAAGGCCTGATGCATGTGAATCAACTGAATAAACAATAGCAGTATGACCAACCATTTCCATTAACACTTGACCATTTAATGTCCATAATCTGAGAGAACTGTTGTAACAGAAACAAATCAAGCAGGGTATATATATTTTCTGAAGTAGAAGCAGCGATTCAATATCAATTAGATCAAAAGGAGTGTGTGCGGAAATGAACCCACCCATCATGGGATGCAGATAGGATTCCAAGATCAGACATCACAGCCAAGCCTCGAACAGTATCTGCACACTCCTCAAAGATAATCAGCATTTGCCCAGTGACATTAATTTAGGTTAAGACACTAAACAACAGTGAGGAAAAATGTAACCGATAACAGCCTAAAATGATATAATATAACTTTCACAGCAACAAAATTGGTGACAAAATAAAAGATTAAAATGCATCATGTTTGTCTCAAGACAGCAAAGCCAACCTGTATGCCCTTGAAAGGTATGTAAACAAGTTTTTCCTCTCCAAATCTTTAAAGTAGCATCACTAGAACCTAAAATTGTCAGAAGATAAGTTAACAACTTACTTCAGTCTAACGCCATTCACACATACTCAGCAGAACAGCAACTGCAAAATTCTTCCTAAGAAACATGACTATAAACTAATAATTAGAGATAATAAAAAGTTATAGACAAAAACGCATCAACAACTAGCTATACCTGTAACAAGCTCGCCTGAAGGCAATTTTACAACTGCTTGGACTGGTGCCTTATGAGCCTCCCAAGTCTCTATAGATTGCCCATTCCTCCACCTTCTCAAGGTACTACACGAGTGATTCAGTTAGCAAATAAAGACAAAAAAAAAATCACATAACATATTAAAACAGTGAATCGAAGTCAAAAGATATTGGTGAAGTTAAAGTAAAATTGAAAAACCTACCAATCAACAGAAGAGGAAATAAAATCACCATCATCGAATGCAATGCCAGTGACCTGCAACTGATGGCCCTTGAGCATGTGAACCTTCTCACCGGTGTTCAAGTCCCAGACGAAGACAAGAGTGTCCATGCCGCCAGACACAACTCCACCTCGCGGAAAATCGGTGTTGGGAGGAATCCATGCCAAGGGTCCAACAAAGCTCGAATGCCCCAAAAGAATGTTGGAACACACGAACTTGCTGTGGTCGGGAGACCAGAACCTAACCGTTCGGTCCCTCGACGACGTCGCTATGCCCTCCTTGCCACACACGCATATTCCACGAACCTGCGTTCAACCAATCAATACATAAAAAACGATGATGATTGAGTTCGAAGAAGTTGAAGAATCGAAACATAAATCATACATCGTCTTCATGACCACGAAGTTCACATCGTAACTGATATTCTTTGAAATCAATGTCCATTTGTTTGAGAGAGAAAAGGTTGAAGAAACGCTCGCAATTCACAGCAAAAACCCAGCTCACACGCTTCCTCTGCTTCTTACTGCAATTTCCCTTTTCTTTTTATTTATTTTAATTCTTTTTGTTCTGAGTTACCAACCAATGCATATAGGCAAAGTGAGGTTTTATAGTTCACCCCTCTGCAACTAACCACTGTTATTTGCTCCAATTCGTATAGTTACAATCATTTATCGGCCCAGACTCTCCGTTTAGATTAAATTAGGGTTCATTTTAAATAAAAAGGAGCAAAATTTTTATTATTATTATTTAAAAATTATTTTCTTAAATTATTCAAAAGGTCTTTTATATTTAACAAATCAATCTATTTGATTTAGTAACAGTAAACAGTTAAATTATATTTTTTTCATGAATAATTATATATATATTATATAACAAATTTTAAATTTAATATATTTTTAAAGAGTGCAAAATTATTTTTTAATACTGATTTTTTTTATATTAAATGTAATTAAAAATAAATTATGACACTTTTAAATTTAAATTAATGTTAAATTAAAAACTAAACATAATTTAAAAAATACTTGTTATAATTAAAAAAATAGTTCTTAAAAATATTTTAGACGATAATATTTTTAAAATTTATCTGCTTAAATATTTAAAAAAAAATAAAATCTACCATATCTTTTATAATTGAGAGAGTTTTATATATCTTTTTTTATTTATAAGATATTATAAAAATTATAACCGTTAATACAAAGAAAGTATAAAATACTTTCTGAAAAAAGTACATAATGTCCTTTTAAGATTATTGGTATCACAACAAATATTTTTGAAAAAATGTTTTTGCTTAAAAATTAACATTCATAACTTATATACAAAAATTAATGATAATATTTGTCTATAATATTATATTTTATAGATTATTTATCAAAAATATTAATTTAAGTACAAGTTTAAACTAAATAATTTATCTAAAGTGGATTTTATAACTTATTTAAAAAATATTTTTAAAATTAAAGAAATATATTGAATCAAATCCTATTTCTAAATAGAAAAAGTTTGACTTTAAAAAATATTTATATAAAATAAATAAGTTAAACTAAAGGCCTTAAATAGATAAAACATTAATAAAAGTATTGGAATTAATGATATTATAATTTTAGTATAATTTAGTAGAATTATTAATTAATATTATATTTTTAAGAAAGCTAACTACAATGCAAACGTTTTTGTTAACAGTGCTTGTCAAGTGCCTAAAATATTGTTTACATATTTTTCCATTCCCCCACTTATTCTTCCTTAAATAGGAGGATAGAACAATCTGTTTTTCTAAAATATTAGGTAGTATTATCTTATTAATAAAATAAAATAAATATTAAAAAAATATTTTTAACTATACTGGTTATAGATGCATATATTATTAATATAGTGTATTAACAGAAGTAATGCATAAAATACATTGCATCATTACTGATTAATACAAGAATTATTTTCTTTTACAAATTAAGTTAACGTGCAAGAGTGAAACTGAGAAGAAAATAAATGTTTAAATTATACTTTATCGGTTATAATATTATAATTCACAATGAAATTGATATAAGTCAGTTTGAGTAATTTTTTAAAAAAAGTTATTACAAAATAATCAGTGTAAAACATAAATAAATTATTTTAAGTTAAAAACAGTTTTTTTTATTCCTTAAAAAAAATATTTGATTCCTCTAAAGTTTAAAAATATAGGTTTTTTTAATTTATAAAAAAGATTATTATTTTTTATATTAATTTTGTTTTCTATAAACACTTTTACATAAATTTACTTAAAATAAACTCATGTTTCAAAACAAAAATAATGATTACGAAGAATATATAAAATAAAAGATAAAGACAAAAAAATTTATTATAAATCTCAACAAATTTAATTTAGAATTAACTTGAGATTTATAATTCAGTTTTTTTTAATTATTATAAGTAAAATCTCTCTCTCTATATATATTTATATATATAATTATTTTAAATAATATTATAATAAGTCAGTAATTTTTTTAAAATATTTGTATTATTTAGTAATTTTTTATAAAATATTAGATTAACAATATAACTATTAAGCTATATTTAGGAGTTATGTTTAAGAGGATAGAGAAATGAAGAGGTTAATCTTTATCTTGAAGTTGCTTAATTAGGAAAGAAAGGTTTTCAAATACTAGTTTTTTTAGTTCTTTCAGTTGAAGATTTTCTATCTCTCATTGTCATATACTCTTTCACAAATAAGATTTTACCTTTTAAAAAAAATTAATTTTTTAAGTGATTTTTTATAAAAAATAAAAATATTAATTTTAAAATTATTAATTTTTGGAGAAAAAATAATATTAATTTTTATTTATTTATTTATTTTTATTTTATTTCTTTATTTAATTACAGCAAGTACTTAGTTAATCTTATAGTATAGTCACCCCTAATTAGAGGAAATTTGAATTTTTTGTTTGACATGGAATGCTCTCAACCTCCCCCCTAGGCTACTAGATGGAGGTAATTCTTCTTCTGCTCGTATCTCCTTCTATGATAAAGTTTTGGGTGGTTGTGCTCTTTTACCTAGGCCTAAAAAAAGGATTTTATTAAGGCCAAATTGTTTCGTATAGAATTGGAGGATGGTAACCGCCTTAAATTGAGGTGCTTTATGGATGAGGACGTGGTGAAAGCTTTGTGTGCTTCTTGGCAGGATGCTGTTTTGGTTAAGTTGTTGGAAAAATCTCTAGGCTTTTTTACCATGTGTGAGAAGTTGAGGGCAATCTAAAAACTAGTTGGAGATTTTCACTTGCTTGACATGGGTCATGGATTCTTTATGGTGAAATTTGACTTTGTTGCTGATAAAGAAAAAGCTATCTCAGATGATCCTTGGTTAATCTTTGATCACTACCTTACTGTTTGTGAATGGTTTTCTAATTTTATTGCTTATGAGGACCACATTGATAAGACTTTGGTGTGGGCGAGATTTCCCTCATTGGGTATGGAATACTATGACGAGAGTGTTCTTCTTACTCTTGTTGTTGTGACTGGTAGGCTTGTAAAGGTTGACTTGACGACATTATCGGCTTCATGGGGTCGTTTTGCAAGAGTCTGTGTTGAAATTACCTTGAATGAACTGTTGGTAGGAAGAGTTTGGTTCCAAAATCATTGGTTTCATATGGAATATGAGGGTTTACATTGGTTGTGTTCTAGTTATGGTAGGTATGAGCATTTATTGTGTTCTTGCCCCATTGTTCTCCTTGCTCTGGATCAGGATAATGGTTTATCAGAGGAACTGTTGTTGGTAAATGACCAGGGTGACAAGTCAAAGATGGTCGTCCGACAGGCTGAGGTGGCATAGGGTGAATCTATTCAGGGTGCACCTTCTTCGCAATCTATAACGACACCCAACAATCGCGGAACAGATATTTTGCATGGTGATTGTTGATAGTCCAAAAACTGATAATTCAAATTTGAATCAAAATCTTTTTGAAGTTTTAGATAATTCTAAAAATGCAGATATTGTGGGAGAGCCTCCTATGGCTGATGTGGCAGTGAATGTGAATTATGTTCCGGTTTAGAATGTTGACGTGGATAATAATAAGATATTAAATCTCACTATTAAGGTTGGTATGGTGTCTACGAAGGTAGAGTCCAACAGTAAACCCTTGGATCATTTCAAGTAGCATTCTCGACCTTGCTCTCCTAATGGCCCACGTGATGTGGTTGTGCCCCCTAGTGCACCTCGACAAGGTTCACAACCTCCTCCAAGTTTTGTGGGGCCTGTGTTGCCGAAAAAGATTCTTTACTCATAAGTCCTAGATTCTCTGATGCACATTGCATGGAACATGCACAAGAAATTTTTCGTCGAAGTTGCTCTCTAGCCATGCACACGGATTTTAATTTGGACCTTCCAATGGTCATTGGAGGTCCTCGTCTTTTGTATATTGGTGATCCAAAACCTCTTGATCTGGGTATTTTAGATGGTCCAAATCTGCCTTACCCTATGAAGGATGTTAGGGACACTGTTATGGCTTTTTCAGAGGGTGAAAATAATGATATTATGTTGGACAAAACTCCTCTCGAGTTCTCTTCTGATGTGAGGTATTGACATGGGTTTCCAACTCCCTTTCTTTTATTTGGTTTACGATGAATCACCTGGACTGTTATGTACTTGTTTGGAATATTAGAGATGTTGTGGAAAAACATAATGTCTCACTTCTTCGGGATTTACTAAGGTATTATATGCCTGATTTATTATTTTTATTTGAGGTACATACTTAATTTACTCGAACGAGTAAGTTTTGGTAGTATATGAATTTTGAGATAGTTGCTATCCAAGAGGCACGAGGCCATACATTTAGGCATTAAAGCAGCGTCATTCGACATTTACTTTTCATGTATTGAATACTATGTATCAATCTATTTCCATTGCTATTTCCAAAGGTAATAGCACGTGGATATGTTCAAATGTGTATGCAAATCCTTCCCCTATTGAACGATATAAACTTTGGGATCACTTTCTTAATCTTTATCTTATCTTTCGCCAATTGTGGGTGCTTCTAGTTGACTTTAATGAAATACTTTTACCTTTTGATCAACGAGAGGGCATCTTTTCCTATCAACGTGCCGATTTGTTTGAGGATTTTATTAATGATTGCGATTTATTAATGTTAGGTTAAGTTGGTGGTCATTTCACTTAGCACAAGATGGCTGCTAAGGATAGACCGCTTCATAAACAACTTATCGTGCTTTGGGTGATATTACTTGGAAAATGAAGTTTCTGGAAGCAATAGTGAACGTTCTTCCTTGTCATCATTTTGATCATAACCATCTTCTTCTTTGTTGTGGTGGTTTTTCTAAACAAAAGGGGGTTCAACCCTTTCATTTTGAGTCAACTTGGTGTACTTATAAGAATTATGAGGAAGTTGTTATCCAAACTTGGCAATAAGGTGGTGACAATTTTGTGAATACTTTGGAGTGTGTGCGCAAAGATTCTAGTGTTCAATAAGGAGGTATTTGGTAATATTCAAAAACGTAAGATTGAACTAGATCAATGACTTAGAGGGATTGAGTAATCAATGTAGAGGGTTGATTCTCTTCGTTTGCTTCATCTTTATCATCAACTTCTTCATCAGTACGAGTTCACGCTGTTTCAAGAAAAAACTTTATGGTTTCAAAAATCTAGAGAGCGGTAGATTAAATTTGCCAATAAGAATACTAAATTCT